CTCGTCACCCTGATCACTTTGATATATATAACCCTATATCTGACTCTTTTAGTTTTAGGACTCACAAACAACCGTTATGTGAACAAAACTATAATACCCTATTTAGCAACTTTGTTGCGAGAGTATAAAAATCACTTACAGCCATTTTTGTAATTCTAGTAAATATTGGTGGTTTGATCCCTACACTCCTTCACGATAACACAAATACTCCTACTACTTTTTCTATAATTATTGGCATGGAATAGCCTTTAACAGTGTATTCGAAAAGCAAGTAACACCTTTTACAAACGAAAATCGCCCAAAAAAGTTAAGGTAAAACTTCTGATCCCTTATTTTCACAAATCACTGTAAACTCATTTTCACTTTTTACCACACATCCTAAGCTTATACATGTTTCTAAACATCAAAAAAAAAAAAAAAAAAAAATTTTTTTTTTCAATCAACGCAAAAAAAAAAAAATAATTTCTTTTTCTTTTTAAATCATTTTATTTCTTTTCTGTCGCTTAGCAACCGTAACTACCAGTCGCCCGCTCAGTAGCGCCACACGCTCATCCAAACGTCAAATTGGAAAACGAAAACAAACTTTCCAGTGAGCGCCACAACGCAAACGAGCTCACGCACACTCGTCGCTCTTACCACTTTCCCAGTGTGTTACCACATTTTCAGTACGGCCGCCGAGTGGCTGCTTTCCATTGCGATCGGCGCGCCTAAGTTCAGTTGATTTTAGCTTTTCGTTGTGTTCGCAAGTGTTTTCGGTGCACGTCGCGTTTCCAACGACACCGTGAGTTTGCGTGCGCGTCACAAACATTTTTACATACATATGTATAAACAAAATAATTTTAATTAATTGATTTTTTATTGTTGCTGTGTGTTCTTTTCTTTCAATCTTAACGCTTTTTAACATTTTCGAAGTTTTATGCGTACGTGTGATTAGCGCTCGAGACGCGATTGCCACGAATCAGAACGTGAGAGCGTTGCGTTGGCTGATTAGCATATTGCGGAGACAATCGACCAGCGATGTACGTGAAAATATAAAATTTGTGAATTTCTTGTTCTTGTTGGTTACAGTGTTGCAACTGTATATACATATGTGTGTGTGTGTGTCTGTGTGTAATAGTTGTTAATTGTGTGCGCTTAAATGTGTGTTTGCTCAAGCAAAGTCTGTGACGAAAAAAATATTTGAGTAAAAATAAATAATTATACATTAAAGGCGGAAAGAAAACAGCGAAATTAAGCATTAAGCTGCATTAACTGTGCACACGAGGAATACAATAAAACACACGAAATATATATCTATAATTAAGCGCAAAGCAAATAGCATTACTTACCTTTGGTATTTATTATTTTTTGTTGCTTTTTCTGTTTATAGCGGATTTGTTGGGATATTATTTTGCTTGTAGTGTCTGCGCTGAGGTTTGTTGGCTTGTTGTTTTTATTGTTGTTATTGTTTTGATCGATGCTATTTTCGCACGTACATTGACACTTACCGCGCGTTGGCTTTTAACGCTTCCAAGCGCGTTGCACATACAAACGCACAAAGCAACAAACAAATATAAATACATACATGTACACTTATATTATATACCTATTTTATACATATGTATTATATGTGTTTATTGCATTTATATATATCCATTCGCCTCGAAACTCTTTTGTTTACCTTTAGTTTGTGCTTATTGGCGTACGCAAAATCTCCTTCAACGCAATGTAAAAAATTACAAAAACAAAAATTATTAGCCTCGTCTGCACCGCAGCTATAACACCCCGCACAGGTGCAATTCTTATGTCATTAGATGTATAAAAAAATATTTATCTCCTTTTTAATCGCCCATTTTGTATGGCAGTTGTATGCTATAGTTAACCGATCCGCACAAATTTTCTGGATATTGCAGTGTTGCTTTAGAAAATACTCTGAGCAAAATTTTGTAAAAATATTTTGACAAATATAAGAGTTGTCCATACAGGGACTTGACTTTGAGCGATCAGTTTGTATGGCAGTTATATGCTATAGTAACCCGATCTACATAATTTTTACGTAGCTTATAGTACAGTTACAGAAAATAATTTGTGGCGAATTTTGCGAAGATATCTCGTCAAATAAAAAAGTTTACCATACAAGGGCTTGATTTTAAGCGTTCATTTTGTATGACAGCTATATGCTATAGTTAACCGATCCGCACAAATTTTCTTTATATTGCAGCGTTGCTTTGGAAAAAACTATGAGCCAATTTTTGTGAAAATATCTTGACAAATAAAAAACTTTTTCATACAAGGACTTGGTTTTCATACGTCAGTTTGTGTGGCAGCTATATGTTATAGTGAACCGATATCGGCAGTTCCAACAGCTGAGCAGGTTCTTGAGAAGAAAATGACGTGTGCAAAATTTCAGGCAGAGAGTCCTCCAAGCTAGTTCTACGTTTCTCAGCTTCGAACTTAATAGTGGCTGCTCAGGGCATAAAAATAAACAATTAAATTAAAGAAAAACAACAACCACAAATAATTTTACACAAAATATATGAATTTACAAGGCGACAAGTGTATATCAAAGCAAAATATCATTAAAATACCACAACGCTGTCAGCGTCAAAATTTATGACCGCTGTTGGCCGCAATGGCAGCGCTGTTGGCGCCGCATGAATTTAAGCTTCCTTGTGAGGCAAAAAATTAAAAAAACAAAAATATTTAATATTTGTATACAGAAAGTGATTATGAAGCAAAATTTCATAAAAATGAGTTAGTATGTCTCTTATAGCCTGCCTTCGCAACCAATTAGTTGTGCGCATGCGCACACGTTGCTGCTAGCTTTAAGGCCGCCAACCGCCAACAATATTTGCGCTCTCAGCATCCACCTTTGCTAACACATATACTAAATGTGGGTCTGCCATTTGTACTTGTTCACCGTGATGTGCTTGTCGCATAAAAAATCTGCCCCATAATTAAAAAAATAATAAAAAATTAAAAAATAAAAATAAAAAGAAAGTTAATTATCGCACAACGAAAGCGAAAAAGTGTAACAAGGTAAACAAAGTGGACATAAAAAGCAATTGCTACAACAAAAAAACATACTCAATGATAAGCATAAACCTACTAAGCATGGTAGTTAGAGGGAAATATAGCTTGTCAGTAATTTGAGACATAACCAAGAACATTACAAGAAGAACAACAACAAYTTCAACAATGCTGTGCGCAAGTAGAATGCAAATTAAAAAACAACAAACAGTAACAAACATGTGTGCAAAGATACATCATATATAGCAATATGGGTATACTATATTGCATTCATATATATATACATATATACATATATCGTCACCTAAAATGCAAAACGTAATGTAAAAGAAAAAGCGAAAAACGCAGATATAATAACCAAAATATAACCGTTTTATAACCGAAACCCAAATTACTACATATTTCTATAAGAGTCATTTCTATTATATCGTTTTTCCGTCGCCGGTAAACTTATGAAAAATGCTTTTACGTTATTTTGCGTCAAGTGGCGATATATTTATATACATAGAAGCATTGGTTATAGCGCGCCTCAGTCCAGGGATAAACATATGCAACACCTCCTCAACAGCATCTAAAATCGAAACTTTAGGCTCTTCCCATTTTTCACATACAAAAAAAAAAAAAAAAAAAAAAAAAATAAAATTAAAAAAATGCCAGTAAAGTGTAAGGAAGAAATAAAGGAAATCAACTACCCCTTTGTAGATCGCTCTCTAATAAACCAGCTGTTTGAGTTTGAAGCAGCAAGAAGCGTTCTCATCACACAACAATTGTCAAATAACTATGAAACTTGCGCGAGTGATCTTTGCTCGCTTCCACTTCCAATTTTCAGAAACATGTTTCGTTTGCTTATTTATAAAAAATACATGTGTATACATACATACAATCAACAAATAAGATTGGAGAATATGAAGAAATTTAACTAGACGCTTTTTGAGCTGGCTTGCTCCAAAGTAATTACGAAAGCGAATTACGAAATTTATTCTGACTATGCTTTTTGAGAGATATGTATATAGATAGTAAAATTGAGGCTTTGCATTGCAACCTATTGGTCTATAGTTTATAAAGCTCCAGCATCCTGAACAATTCCAGGAGCCCGCTGGGCATGACTGAGATGCGGTGATACCTATCTACGTAGACGGAACCTATGGCCTTGAGCCTGCTTCTGCAAATTGCTGATCAATCCCGAATGAGGTGTTCTGGAGTTTCCTATTCCATGTCGCAGAACTGGCATTTTGCGCAAGACACTATACCCATATTTGACAATGAAATTGTAGCAGATACCATGAAGAACTTCAACTTTTTATTATCATTTTTGTGATATGATTTCTTTTTTGTCAAAATTGTTGTTGTTCTTCTAAAGGTTATCTAATCGCAGCCATGGTGGTAAGGTTCAGATAAGTTGTCATTGAGCTCATCCAGCGGTAGGCTCAGGAAACGTGCTATTTCGACGGGACCATAAGGAGAGGGATGTCAGATCTGTATAGTCATCTGGGCATGCAAAGAGGTGGTTAGAGTCATGCAGAGACACGTTGCACGTTGGGTGGTGGTTTGACTCCAAATACGCCATTCGCTGAGAGGGAGTCGGTGAAGGTGTGTATGGCTCCAATGTGTTTGGTCGGCGTATTTTTTTATATCGTCGATGCAGTCGAGAAAGAACCTCCTGATGCTCCTACGAGGCGGTTTCGCTTCAAGCATTTGACTGTAAATGATTTCTATGAAAACAACCTAGCAGAAACTGCTTGGAGAAGAGTTAATTGTGCTCCTTAACTGAGCGCATGCGAGCTTCATTGTACAGATATTTTGTAGGAGACATCAAGAGGCATCCCGTTATAGCCTGGGGTGCAGTGTTCAAACACGACTGAAGCTTCCTCGTCTGCTTTTCACCGCATTCAGTCGACCATTGAGGACCAGCCCAATGTTGCACACAACGTTATTTTGTCTTTTCGCCATCTGCTGCCGGCTAGCGACTTGAGGATTTTGTTTCGTCTTTGTACTTTGGCAATTATCCTATATGTTAATATGTGAACAAAAAGTAAGGTAAGGTGATGTGGTGTGGTGCATATGAATTCCTTCCGCCGGGTCAAACTGTTAGCAAAGAATCTCATTGGAGCTTTAGGCGTTTGGGTTAAGCTAGTCGTCTGAAACGATCGAAATTATGGGCGAAGAACACTTGGTTCCTTTAATACATAATATCGTATTGTATTGGATCTTCAGGACTTTTTTGTCTCAAAAATCATCTTGTGTCGTTCCTTATTCGTCTAATTTGAATTCTGACATTGCGACTTCTGGCTATTCAGCCAACTCAAATGGCCAATGTGGAGGCGACGTTTCGACACGATTGAAGTAAAAGGAGGAATAGAAAGAAAATTTGAAGGTTATTTCGAGGACTGGACTTTCTCAGTTGTCAATTTGATTTGAAGGACTAAATAAGTAATTTAAAGTCCATTAACAAACCTTACTTTTTGATCACAATGGTAAATACAAATAACCCTTAATAATCTAGTGAAAATCCTTGCATAATTAATGCAGCAAGTGACCAAAAATATCAAAAAATATGTTCAAATCGGTTTAAAAATACATCGGTATGTACACACACGCCCTTTAATGTCTGGGGAAAATAAATAAAAGCGAACTTATGCAAACAACGAACTCAAAACGACCTTGTTGCGTGCTCCCGCCTTCAAGCGCTTCACTTGTCTGGCGCTCCGTTGAGCTAATTGTAAATGCTCCGTTGAGCGACTTGTGACTTGCTTTACATATATATATATATAAAGAACCACAACAGCAAGTAGATATGCATTTTCAGTGTAAATGACCTAAAAAGCAAGGTGAAGTCTGCCTACCACTGCTTGCCGCATTTGATTGCCGTCGAATAACAGCTAAAGTGAATAATTATTAAATTGGCCTGAGCAGATAATTTGACAGACAATTAAAGTGTAAAAACTCGTTTTAGCGAAATGCTAAATGCATTTTACTATTTTTAGTTATAAGTTGAATAGTGAGAAGCAAA